AGACGCCCCAAACCAGTTCAGTTTGGATGTCTGTGGTACTGCACGGCCAGATAACACCTACCTCACCTACTGGCTCCCCAGCCTGTCTGTGCAGGTTCTTTGCTGGGGAGGGGGGGGGGGGGGGGTATGCTTGAGACGAGTAGGGCCTCGAGAGCTTCCCAGATGGCCATTGCTTGCATTGCAATCTCCCCGAGGTCTCAAGAACTGAATGGGCTGTGGTGCGATTTTGTGACAACCCCCTCCCGCGTCGGGCCCGTTGCGGGGCGATCTCCGGCAGTGGGCAGACGATCGGCAAAGCGGAGAAGTGTTCGGTCAGACAGTCCGCCTAAGTTTCGCCGCGCCCCGAACGACTGATCACTGACTTGCGAACGCTCGCGCGTGAAAGCAACGGACGGGGCCCGAGCCAGCTCTCGGAATTTCTAAGCATGCCGCTATTTTGGGCTGACATATCCCGCGCCCCCCCATCTCCCCCCCCCGCCATTTCGCCGGTTCCCTGCTCACCTTTCTTTCGAGGGTGCTCTGGCGCAAGGCCGCGACATCAGGTTGCGGGGCTTGGAACTTGGAATGTCTGGTTTATTATGTGGCAGTGCCTGGCTCAGGACCGGACAGGCTGTCAGGTGGGCTCTGCAAAACCTTATTGATTGGCGAATTCAATTATCATGAGACCACTCTGTGTTTCGCCGGGCGGGCGGCGCAGCGAGTGCTGCAGGCGCAGCACTGGGCGGCGACCGATCCCAACTCCATCGCCCCCGCTCCTGCTTCCTACTGCCCCGCCTTCGGCTCCGCGCCACTGGCCGCCAGGTCTGGCGCAGTGCGGCTGGAGGCGAATGAAGGCGTAGGCACTGCGGAAGGCAAGTTCAAACCCCTGCCTCTTTCAACTTTCTATGACATAAAACGACTACTAGGGATTGCGCTTCCGCGATCGTGCAGCAGGCGGCCGCCGCCAGAAGGCCTCACACCAGGTCGCAGCTTTGTGCTTTTGCAATGAGGCCGTCCGCACCGCTCTTGATGCATCGTATACGGCCGAAGCCGATGCTGTCGGTGTTGCTGGTGCCCCCCACGCCCAAGTCTGAATCGCTGGTCCCGTCCACACGTGCTGACCGGGGCACAGATATGCGCGTGGGCGGGGGTGGGGCTGGGCGGCGCCCGAGGACGGGCGCGACGATTGCCGCGTGCATGTTCTGCCGTTCCTCCCGTCCTCTGCGACCTCGGTGACCTGAAGCGCGCCTGGCCACTCAAAGAGCTATCGACGCACTACGGCAGCGGAAAAGCAATCCGATTCATCAAATTGACAATCGTCGCCCCCCCCAAGCCCCCCCCCCGCCGCATGCGTCTACTACGACGTCCTGCAGTCGGTGGCGGTGGTCGGGGCGCGGGGTGGGGGGAGGGCCAGCGGTGGCTCCAGCGTTCGCAGATCGCCCCCCCCCCCCCCCCCCCCCCCCCCCCCTCCTCCCACCCCTTGACAAACAGGTGCCCCTGGTCGCCTTCCTTGGCTCCCAGGGGGCACGGGCATGAACGTCGCGCGTTCTCTGCTCTCCTCTCCTCTCCTCTCCTCTGCTCTCGTTGCCTCTCCCCTCGCCGCCTCCCCACTCGCTCCTCTCCTGCTCCTCTGCTCTCCTCTGCTCTCCTCTCCTCTCCTCTCCTCTCCTCTCCTCTCCTCTCCTCTCCTCTCCTCTCCTCTCCTCTCCTCTCCTCGTCTCTCCCCTCCTGCTCCTCCGAGCAGGCTAGCGGTGCGGTGCCGTCCTCCTCGCCTCGCCTACTCCCTCTCCCCTCCTCTCTCTTCCTTTCCCTGCCGCCCGCGGTCATGGCGGACCCGGCGGCTCTACGGGGACCTCCCGCAGCAATGGGTCCCGATCCACCGCGTCACCTTGGGCCAGCCTCCTGTTGAAGCCGGCCCAAGAGAACAGACTCGAGCAGCGCCAGGGAAAGACCCTAGACAGCGTGAGTGGAGGGAGGGCGAAGGGGCAGCGGGAAGCACAACATCGCTGTTCAGGGTGCGGGGCGCGCGCCAACTCGCGCCAAGGCGGAGGGGGGGGGAAGGAGGAGGGGGCCGGGATAACCGAAAGGCGGAGGAGGCGGGGGCGCGGCCGTGTGGCGTGAGCCACCGGACCGCACCGTTAGGCGCGCGCGCGCCACCGCCAGAGGCAAGGAGCGGGGGGGGCGAGAGGGAAGAGAGGAGAAGGAGAGGGGAGAGGCGCGCGGCAACTCAAGATCACTGGAAACCAAAGGGGCCGAGGCAGAGGAGGAGGAGAACCGCGGAGGGGAAGGCCCGCAGGGCCCGCCTACCGGAGGCCAGCCGCCTTCCGGCGCTGGGGCGCCAGCTGCGTCTGGACAACGCAGCTGACGACCTTGTATGCGCGGATCAGCTCCGCGCTTTGGCGGTCGTCCGTGCGCTGCTCCTTCGCCTGGCGCACGAGCCGCTGCCTGGCCTCACCGCCCAAACGCTGGCGATTCGACCACAAAGGGCGCGAGTCGATCACCGGGGTATTTGGCGTGCTTCTCCCGCGCCGCCACGCGGGCCACCTCCCTGGGGCGGCGGGCCGCCCTTCTCACAACCTGCTCGGCCGTTGGATGGCGGACGGAGACGTCCACGCAGTGCCGCCCTGCGCCCTCGTGGTGCTCGATGTCGAGTATGGCGCGCTCCAGCAGGTCCGCGCCCAGCGGGTCGGCGGGCCGCTGGCGATCCCCCGTGGGGACCCGCTGCTCCTGCAGAGGCGCGCGGTGGAGCCTGCGGCGGATCAGCCCTGCAACTGCGTCCTCCAGCCGACCGCGGCGCCGGACCATGCCCGCGCCTAGGTCGCAGACGGTGGGGTGCCCCGCCCTGGAGCGCCGCAGGCAACCGCGCCGGGGCCGCCGCCCCTGGCTCGGGTCTGGCAAGTGGCCGAGGCCGTGGCCAGCTCGACTTGGGCGCACTCTGGCCGGCGCACCAATGCCCGCGCGCGCAACGCCGTCGACCAGAGGCCTCCATGGGTGCGCGCCGGGTCGCTGGGGCACAGCAGGAAAGCTGCCGCCCCTGGGCCCCCAGCCCCCGGCAGCAAAGCTCTGTCGTGTTAAGGCAAGCGCTGCCGCAGGGCAGCGTGCTTATTCTTTTGCGCGAGTCTCACGAGTTTGCTCTGCTTGATAAAGGGTTCGGAGGGCTGCGAGCAGTGCGGCCCCTGGCGCTGGGTCGGCTCCGAGGGCCCGAAGCTCTGCGCGCGCCTACGTCAGCGCCTGCTCCAAACTCGGCAGCCCTTCGAGCAGCTCGTCCGGCGTGGCTCCGACGTCGGCCGCCGCCCACTCCGCGGCGAAAGCCCAGCCCGCCCAGAAAGCGGCCGCCCTGCGTTCAGCCGCCCATTGGACACCTGCCCCGCCCGCCTTCCGCGAGAGGCCCAGGACGTCCTTGCTGAGCGGTTCGAAGCCCCTGCCGGCCAGCTGCTCCCAACAGCGCAGCAGCTGGTTGTCGTAGCGTAGCGTCTCATGGTTGTCAACGAAAGAGGCCCGCAAGGCGTGCTGGCTGGCCGCGCCCACGTAGGTGCCGAGCAGGCTGTCCGCCGCCTGCCGCCAATGGCCGTGCTGCGTGAGCGGCCAGAGAGCTTGCCAGAGGGAGCGCAACCTGCCCGTTGCCGCGTCGAGGCTGCCGTCCTGCTGTCCCAGCAGGAGGGGGCGTCCACCAGGTCTCCGCTGGCCTTCAAGTGCGCGCCCAAGACCGGGAGCGCAGCCAACCAGTGCCTCTGCAGCTCCGGCGGGAGCACAGCCGCCCCGGCCTGCGTCCACACCTGTGTCTTTTGCTGGTTTAGTTCCAGGCCGTACGGCTCCCGGGCCTGCTCTAGGAGCTGGAGCGCCTGCGCCGCCAGAGCCACCGGGACCACGATGTACGTGTCGTCGAGGTAGAAGTACATCCGGGCGCCCGCGTCGAGGGCGGTGAGCTGCTCGAGGAGGGGCTGCAAGGCCTCGCGCTGGCCGACTGAGAAAGCGGCCGGCGCCAGCGGGTCGCCCTGGTCGAAGCCGCGGGTGCTTTCGACCGGCTCAAAGTTGCCATCTGCGTCGCGCCAGAGGTGGATGGCGCTGCCCCTGTATCACGTGTCGAGCACGCGGGCCGCGTCGGGCTCGTGCTCTGCCGCGGCCTCGATGGCCGGGGCCCGCTTCATCCTCTGGAAGGCAACTTTGACGTCCACCTTGATGAACGCGGCACTGGGGAGAGCGTCGTTTGCGCCTGTAGCTGCTTCAGGACCAGGTCTGCGCCGCTGACCCCATACTGGTGGGGGCCGGCCGCCTGGCGGAGCTTCGTCTTCTTCACCCCTGCCAGGGCCCTCATCCCCAGCCGCCTGAGGGCGGCGCCCGCCAGGAGGGGTCGGACCTCGCTCGCGCCTGTCCACAGCGAGCCTGCGGCACCTCTCGCGGCACGTCTCCGAAGGTCAACTTTGCGACTGCCCGCGACATTGTCTCGAGGACGTCGGGGTCGTCTGTGCACGTGGCCAAGTGCTCTAAGCGCGCCCCCAGCAGGCCCGGGGCCGTGAGGCGCGGGGGCCGCCGCAGGAGCTTGCCGACCTCCTCGCGGACTGCCTGGCGCACGTCCTCGTTCGGGGCGGCCCCGGCCAGAGGCCCCGCCTGCGCGGCAATTGCGCTGGCGCCTCTCGGGAAGGCATTCCTGAGCTGGGCGAGGGTTTCTGGCGTGCGCGGGGCGACGGGTGCGCCGCGCACGGCGCCGAGCGCTCGGCCCTCCTCGCCGGCGGACGCCAAGGAGTGGGCTCTGCGGGCTTTCCCTTCGTCGGTGCTGGGGCCGGCTGCCCTTGGCGGAGGGGCGCCGCGGCTGGCCGCGTCACCCCGCAGGGCCGCCCATTGCCCGCCCCAGAACCAAGCGAGGCGCTCCTCCAGGGTCTCTGCGCACGTCGCCCCGCCGCCCAGGCGCGCCAGCAGCATGCCGTCGAAGAGGAGAAGGGCTTTCCACTCGTGCTCGGCTGTACGTGCTCATCTGTCGCGTCTCCGCCTGGCCTCTGGGCGCGCGTATCGCCCGGCGCGAC